GCCGTGGCGCAGCACACGAACGTATATTACGCGCTCGCATTGACGCACATGCAGAGTAAGCCGCTCCTGAAAAAAAAAAAAAAATTAAATTAAATTAAATTAAATTAAATTAGATTAAATTAAATAAAGTAAAATAAAATAAAAGAATTGCCGCAGTTCATTCATCCTTCGTCAACAAAAAATATCATATCCTACAATATAAATTCAAATAGAAGAAAAAAGTAAAACGCATGCATACCGAGGAACCTCTCTCTGGGGCTGTATTCATACTACAAGCTCAAAAAAATGTATAGCAGCAACCAAAGATTTTCTTTTCTTTTTTTTTTAACTCTTAGAGAAATGTCTACAGTATGATTACAACAGAGAGATACCTACTAGTTGTTATTATTATAACAAACATATATATATATATATATATATATATATATATATATATATATATATATATATATATATATATANATATATATATATATATACATATATATTTATTTTTTTTTATTTATTTTATTTATATAATACCTGTATTTCTACACGAGTTTTGATAGCTTCTCCTTGTGATGTTCTTGCAAAGAATCTTCCTGCTTGGAGTTCAACAGAGAACTGGCCGTTTCCCTGTATATTGAGTATATCGTGAACCTCAACTAACATATCAAACTTATCGTGATCGTGACAGCCAAATTTTCGCATGCAGAGGCCGATGAGATGACACTCAGAGGGGTGAGGGATTGCCTGTCTGTTGCGGTAAGCACAGAAACTACCGATACCGCATGCACAGGTAGCAGCACAGCATGCAATTGCTGCAGGATCAGGAAAAAACATCTTCAATCAGGTGTATATACACCCCGTTGCTGCAGCAGCAGCACCAGCAGCAGCAGCAGCAGCAGCAGGGGGAACTACAACAATCAACAAAAAAAAAAAAAAAGATGAATGCAATGCAATGCCTGCTTCAGGTTGCCGTCAATGAGTGGCACCAAAGCAAAGCTGCAAATATGCAGGAAACAACAGCTGGGCCCATCAGCGAGGAGGCGTGATAAAACCCTTTTCTTTTTTTGAATAAAGACGAGCAGCAGCAGCAGCAGCAGCAACGAAGAGAAAGAACTGCCGCAGACTCAGACGCAGCTGCCGTTCCTTCTCCCCGAGCAGCAGCTGCAACTGCAGCAGACGCTAGCGCCACGGATGAACAGAATAGAGAGAAGAAAGAAGAGGCAAGCAGCTGATATATAGCAGCTGGGTTTCCGTCCTGTCTTTAATATGAAAGAATGTGCAGCTGCTGCACCACTGGTAGCTGCAGCTGGCTGATGACCCAAGCAGCAACACAGGTCTAAAAAGAAAGCGACAGCAGCAGCGGGAGCATCGCAGATGCTGGTTTTATTGCATTACTTGTGCTGTATTCAGGAAAAGAAAAGGGAGAAGAAACGCAGCAAGCAGCAACATGAAACAGAGCCAGCGGTTCTCTCCGGCGGCAGCCCCACGGCGTCCTGCAGAGGAAACAGCTTCGTTTTCTGTTTGTGAAAAGATGTAATGGAAATAATAAGAATTAAATGATAAAGGAAGAAGATAAACAAAGAAAAAGAAAGAGATGTACACTATAAATACTGCTGCTGAAAGCGTTCTTACCGCGCCGCAGAAAGGAGCCTCGCGGACGATCGACGGGCGGCTGCTGCTGCTCGCTCTCGCCTTGTCCCTGATCATATTTGCATTGTAATATATAAAAAACAATAAAAATTTATAATTAAATCAAATATATTTCGCAAATTGCATGCAAATTACCTCGAATTTACCTCTATGAACAGACGCAGCTCATGGTGGTGTTCGCGGTGGTCTACATGCCGGTGCACCACGTCAGCTGTACATACACCTGAAAGTTCTTTATCGGCTACACTCAATATAAACAAATAAAAATCTATTCTACTTTTAAAATGAATTTATAGTGTAAACTCCTTGTATGTCTGCGTGTTTGTTCATTTCGGTGCTGCTGCAGCACCAGCTGCTGCTACGACTCGCCGCTGCAAGCAGCAGATATACTCTGTAGCTGCAGCAGCCGTGTCAGAGGTGACCTTCTCTTTGTTTCTGTCCTTTTTATAGGCCAATTACCCCCTCATCTGAGTATAGATACGGCCCCGCATGCATGCATTCGTGAGGTGTATGGACGATCGGGGGTGTGCGCGTTCAGCTGCGTTGCAGCGGTGTCGATACACCGTATAGTTTGTATGTAAACGGTATATAGATGTAGGTTTATATGCTTCGGTCTACACAGACAGAAGAAGCAGCAGCTGTTGCTTGCCTTCTTTCTCTTTCCCTCTCCCCCGCTACACCAGAGCATCGCTCTGCATTCGTCAGCCCCATTGCTGCTTATAGTTTCCGTGGTATTAAGCCTGTAAGATATACCCCTAACAGCAGCAACATCATCAATTTGTTGCTTCTGTTGAAACAATAAAAACATCTGTCTCCGTCTCTCACTTCCTCTGCATCGCTGGTGTCTCCTGTAGTCACCAGAGTGTACATACAGCTGCAGCAACAGCAGCAGGAGCCGGAGCAGTGCTTTGCATGTGCTTGAGGGGGAGGCCAGGGGCCCTGCTTTGCTTTCTCTCCTTTTGGGTGTACATGCTGCTGGAGCCCGCAGGCAGCCATCAGCCTTCATCTGCAGATCGATACACTGCATGTACACCCGGCTAGCCAGAGGGCCCCATTGGCAACCTGTGTGTAGCTAGCTACAGCTAGCTGTGTATCTATCTAGCTAGCTGCAGCTAGCTAGCTAAATAGATGGATATTTATCTGCAGCTAGCCACGGCTAGCTAGCCGTTATTCACGAACTTTCTGCTCCTCCGGGCCTCGGTTTTCTTCTGCCAGTAGAAATAAATCACTGCCGTGCATGCAACATACATAAAAAAAAAAACAGAAAAAAACAGCTGAGGAGACACCGCGCAGCAGAGCCAGGCAGCGGCTGTCTCCTCTTCGTAGCACGCATCCAGGCAACCTCTCCTTTTCCCCTTTTATATAGCAGCAAGAAGAAACAACTATTTCTTTATTTTAAACAAAAAACAAATGCAACAATTTTAATTAACCACAAGAAAGGAAACTACAATCGGGTGTATAGGCACCTCACAGCCTGCAGCTGCCTGTACACCGCAGAAGAGAGAGAGCAGTACTCGAGCTGTTGCTGCTTTTCTTTATTTTTCCATTGATTTGTTTTATATTGTTTTTTATTATATTTTATTGTAGTGAGTTTTCTATGGTGTACTATAATACGGCATCGCGCTATATACACATATGTATATATATGTATATATATATATATATATATATATATATANTATATATATATATATATATATATATATATACACATAATATATTATATATATAGTAGTATAAACTAGTATATCCCATTATATATGTTGATTAAAATATATAAAAAATATTTTTGTTTGTTTATTTTGTTTTTTATAAGAAATGAATTTGTTGTTTCGTTGGTGGTGACGGGGTGTCTCGGCGATGTTTGCTCGACGTGTATTTTTTTTTTTGTGTGTGTATTTTTTTTGTTTTTTTTGTTTTTTTTGAAAATAAATAAATTAAATTAATAAAATTAATATAATTATATTTAAATTTCCCTTTATAGATACACTAGATAGGCAAATATGTACTGATAGACTCCCTGGCTCGTCGCCGGCGTACTGCTAGCTGCTGCTCACCCCCCGCCTGCCTGTCGTTGTTTGGGGTCCTCTGCTCCCTGTTGAGAGTTTTATTATATTATTAATGCTTTAAATTATTTAGATTTTTATTTTATTTAATAAAAAGAGTTTTTTAATACAAAGAAAAAGAAAAAGAGGCAGCAGAAGCCTCAATATATATATCAGTATATAACGCTCGCCGCTGCAGCTGCTCGCGGCGGGTCGTTGTCTCCGAGTTATATTTTTGTTTTTGTGTTTGTTGTTTATATTTATATTATTTTTTATATATTTTAAATATATTTAAAACAAATATAAATACACATATTCATATTTCAATACAAAATGACTCGGCGCTGGATACCCTTCGCGCTGTGCGTCGCCTTGGCTGGCGGCTTTGCAGCAGCAGCAGAGCAGCAGCAGCAGCAGCAGCACGAGCAGCAGCAGCAGCAGCAGCAGCTGCAGCAGCAGGAGCAGCAGCAGCTTGAAGCCTCAACAGCTGACATCTCCCCCCCTATAACCCCCGTTGATGCAGCAGACGCCGCAGAGGTGACCCCGCTAGACGTTGCTATCGAGCCAGTGGCAGCAGAGCAGCAGCAGCAAGAGCAGCAAGAGCAGCAGCAGCAGCAGCAGCAGCAGCAAGACGATGAGGAGGAGCAGCAGCAGGAGCAGCTACAGCAGCAACCTGTAGCTGAGACTGAGGATAAGAAACAACCCGAGGGATTTGCACAACAACAACAGCAGCAGGAGCAGCAGCAGCAGCAGGAGCAGCAGCAGCAGCAAGACAACCAGGAGATGCTGCTGGGTGCTCTTCGTTTTGAGTCTTTATATAAATATATGTCTTCTCTACAAAAAAAGTTTTTGTTGGCAGTATTGCCTGATGCTTGGGCTGTACCGAAGTTTACACCATCAGCAAGCATGGAGCTCGACGAAGTGCATCAGTTTATAAAAGAAATAAATAAAAAAAACAACAACATGTCTCCATCTGCAGCTCTAATACAACTCGCAGACAGCGGGGAGCTACCCTCTCTGCTGCAGCAAAACCCTAATTTTCCTGCTGCACTAAAAGAGGTACTAAAAGCATGTCTGGGGCCCCTGGGGGCCCCCAGGGGGGGGGGCCCCACACCCTTTTCTTTACCTAGTCTAGATATTATAGATTTAGATGCTGTGGGGCGTTTGTTTAGGGTCCCCACAGAGCTTGAGTTTCCGGTGTATGCTGAGGGTTTATCTTTATTTGTACCTGTAGTTATACGAAAAGAAGAAATAATAAAAGAAAAAGGAGACAGTCTCCTTTTTGCTAATATAGAAAAAATATATATACCTATTGTCTCTCATCAAGGAGATGTTCTCTTCTCTGATGCTAAAACTATATTCACGGGAATACAACTACCACAAACACTACCTATTGAACCCCTTGCTACCTTCTCTGCTTATCAGGTACAAACCCTAAACCCTAAACCCTAAACCCTAAACCCTAAACCCTAAACCCTAAACCCTAAATTTTAAATCCAGTGTTTATAGAAGTTTTTAGTTTATAAGGAATGTGGGGATTATATGAATCAATGAATGTCTGTTTGTTTATTTTTTTATTGTTTATTTATTTATTTTGTTTATTTTATTTATTTATTTTTTTATTTATTTTATTTATTTTTATATTTATACATTTATTTAGGATTTCCATGCATTTGTTTATCCCCATAAAAGCAATCTTTATTTTTTGTTATTTTACTTTATTGTATTAATTTAATTATATTTAATATATATGAATACATTTATATATATTATTTATTTTAAAATATAAATATAAATATAAATATATAAATAAATAAATATATATATAAATAAATATATAAATAAATAAATATATAAATAAATAAATGTATAAATAAAATAAATAAATTTTTGTGTGTATACAGATAGCAGACACAGGTGGTTTATTCTCCGTTCCTTTAATTAAATATATATAAATACATTTACATATATATATATATATATATATATATATATGTATATATATATATATAAATACAAATAAATAAATAAATAAATAAATAAATAAATTTTTGTGTGTATACAGATAGAAGACACGGGCAGTCTATGGTCTGTTCCTTTATTACTTTATACTAATTCAACTATACTTATACTAGTAAATATATTTATTTATTTATTTATTTATTTATTTATTTAATTTTTATTTATTTGTGTGTGTATACAGATAGAAGACACGGGCGGCCTATGGTCAGCAGTGAAGGGGCCAATGCTGAGCCGTTTGTCTGTATTGGGTGCCGAAGCAGAATCTTTGTTTGGGCCTGTCTTGAGTTTAGTATCTCTGCCGCGTGTAGCTTTGTCTCTGAATGGAGACAGTGCAGCAGCAGCAGAGCAGCAGCAGCAGCAGCAGCAGCAGCAGCAGCAGCGGGAGCGGGGAGGGGAGGGAGAAAAGAAGAGAGAAGAGGAGCAGCAGCAACAGTCTCTATCGAGAATTGTTACTGCTGCTGCAGCACAAGTCAAGGAGACACTCAAACCACTGCAGCATATTGCTGCTGCTGGAGCTGCCTATACACCCCACACCCCACACTCTGCTGCTGCAGAGACAGCCGAAGATTTCCTTAATCTTAAATTCCTTAACTTCACTATTCCAGTTGTTGGTAAGATAAATATATTTGTTTTTTTTCTTTTTATATTTATTTATATTTGTGTTTATTTATTGTTATTTATATTTATATTTATTTATTTATATTTTTATATATATCTATATTTATTTATGTATATTTAAATGTATA